TTAACGAAGATATAGGGAACATACACTTGGGCTTCTTGTTTTTAGAGCAAGAGTGGCAGAACCAAGATCCATTGGGCACAGCAACAAGTATGGGTCTGAGGCAGAAGAGGTGGTATCCTCGATCACATTTGTCGCAAAGAATCAACTTGGCCGGCGAGTGGCCGGATCCACATTCTTCGCAGCACACGTCATCGCAATCGAACGATTTACCGATTGAAGGGGACTTGGATGCCGGTTTCAGCGCGAGAGTCCTTCGTCGGAGTGACATTGATGGTCTCGACGATACAGTGACCAGAGCAGTGGATGCGAGAAAGGTTTAGAGGTCGGAGAGGGCGAGAGGCCGAGCTGGTGACCTTAAGCCATTTTGGAAGGTCCTTGGCGCGCTAATTCGCATTCGCGCGAAATTCTTTTCCTTTTGAGGGTGGGGGTTTCAGAGCGCGAAAATCAGTTTTGGCGCCAGAGATTATCGGGCGAAGGGGGCAAAATTTCCTCACGTTGTGGGCTTTGAGCCCAAAGAAACCTACGGGCCTGCTGGGGTTAAGGCTTTTTAAGGGGGGAATGTTCTCTCAAAAACATTAAAACCCATGTGGCAAAAAAGGAAAACAGTAAAGCCCAAACTATTTGTTAGTCCCTGTTCAAAGAGAAGTCCGAAATAGGATCCCTCACTGGGTTTTATAACATGAAGCCCAGGTAGGAATTTTTCAGTGAAATACTGAGATATTTGAAGCTTGCTTCGGATGCTGTTTTAAAAACATGCTGTAGTGGAAGGAGCTAGTCTCTCATAACATGATAAATCAAGGTTTGAATTTCTACTGGAAAAGGTACTCATATTTAGTGCCCGACAGTGCTTTGAGTAGAATTGCCTCTAATAAGAAGATACCTATGCTTTAACAGCGTTTGATCGATTGGGCATGAATAGGAGCCATCCAATTCCCAAATCGATCATGGCCTCTCTTTTTTTTTCCCTCATTTTGATCTCTGCTTCTTTTTCATGTAAGAATTCTCTATCTTTCAAATGCCCTGTGTTTTCCCTTGATCAGATATGCATGTTCACAATTAATGGAACCCGGCGTTTTTGGGAGGCATGAAACAGGGAGCGCAAAAATCCTATATACATGTTGCAATTTTTGTGATAAAATTAGTCTGTTTTATAAGTGCATCCGGACAGTTCTTTCTAAAATACTGTCAAACATTAAATGTGAGTATATTTTTTAACGGGAATTAAAACTTGGTCCGTCACGTTATGAGGAATTGGCTTCTTCTGTTAGACTCAGCTTCCATTAGTTATAACAAGCTATAGTATTTTATATTTGTCTAAAAATTTAAGTGACTTTTTTTTTCAATCTTTACTCCAATTATAATTCACTCGGCATTTTAATCTTTTTTTAGTGTTCTTTATCTCTCATCTACTTTTCTTGGTAGTCACTGACTCATCGTCTCTCTTACCCATCCCCCTCCACAAAGAAGGGTATATCCGGGAAGAACAAAAAAACTAATTAGCACTGTTAAAGTGTGGTGGTGAGAATCAGTGATAGGAATTATACATGGAAAAGTTGATTAATTTGAGGCTAGTGATTAGATATAATTGCGCTGACTAACTGAACGCCTAATATAATGGCACTGCAAAGGTAAGGAGAAAGAATGGGCCGGGATGGGAGGGAGAAGATGTGGCTTTTCAATGCCCCGGTTCTTTTTTTACCAAAGGCGTATAATAATTTTATTGGAGGAAGGCAGGAGGGGGTCCCATTAGAAGAAAGGAAAATGTGGTACGGAATTAGGGGACAAAGGCAGCGGGCTAGACGGCTTTGATGGTGCCACCACCGTATGCTTCTTCGAATCTCATCACTCTCTTCTTGACACGCATCATCACATCTTTGACTCCCTCATCATAATGCCTCTCCCTCCATTCACAAGGATCACTTCAATTAACAAATTATCACGGCCAACTGAAATAAAAGCCAATTCTGTTTTAATACTCATCAAGTGAAAACTCACCCACCAACAAATTAAATGGTCAGACAAAGTCAACAACCTACTTGTAGATCATTCATGCTTCTTATAGATAAGACGTGGTCGATCCTGTACGCGGGCTTCCATCGGGTCCCAGAAAAACAAGGCAGCTTTGCCTATCATCACAATCACGGAGGAGAGTTTTATTCACTCGAACATTGCATGCATCCATCAAAAAGCATTCTTGGGTTGCGGGTGAAAGAGGACAAATTAAAAAGTAGCCTGCACAGTAAACCAGAGTGCAACTTGCTTCCCCTTCGTTTTAGTGAATTTGGGTGTGGAACATGCAGCGTACAAACGGCAGGAACAGTATCGAGCAGCTGTTCGGGCGAGTGCAAATTTGCTTATTTTGTCAGTTGCACTAAAATTGAGTTGTGGAGTTTCTTGCGCGAATATATATAGATGGAACTTATGGGAGGAATAGTCAATAGGAACAAGCCCTCCAGCCTTCTTTTGGTAGGAAGTGTATATAATACTCCTCCAGTCTTTAATATAGGACCCAATTGTTGAGTTGATTTTGTCCTAAATATAAAACCATTTCTCATATTTATCGATTTTCTCTAAATTACCCCTATAGATATTTCCTCAACCATAATCAAGTAGAAGAGGGAGAGAGGTATTAAGAAATATGATCATGGTGTTTTAGGAAAAACATGTCACATTTCTTATAATTAACTAACTTACCTAACTTCATTAATCTAATCAAATTAGTTAAATAGGCCTTGTATTAAGAACCGGAAGAAGTACGTAGTATGTCATCGAGATACGACCAACGGACTACTCTATATATAGCTACATTACAAGGGACAAAATGAAGTAAAGATTTTCTAATGTATATACACACTACCTTCAGTCATAAATATAATAGCTAGTTGACTAATTTGAGTATATTAAAAAAATAAGTTAAGTTAGTTATTTGTAATAAATAGGTGTTATCTTTCTTAAAATATCATTGCTAATCAAATATATTGACCAGAACTACCATTATTAGAAGGAGTACCTTGGAAAAAAATACGTCAATATAAGAGATAAAGTGGATTGGGATCTTATATTTAAGATCAGAATAAAAATCAAATAAGCTCTTATATTAAGGATAGGAGATACTCCTCCGATCTCTAATATAAGACCCATTTAACTAATTTGATTAGATTAAGGAAGTTAGGTAAATTAGTTAATCATAAGAAACGTGACACATTTTTCCTAAAATACCATAATCATCTTTCTTAATACCCCTATTTCTCTTTTACTTGATTATAGTTGAGGGAGCATCTATAGGGGTAATTTAGATAAAAGTGATAAATATGAGAAATAGATCTTATATTTAAGACCAAAACTAACTCAACAATTGGGTCTATATTAAGGACCGGAGGAGTAGTATATATGAACTACCCTTGATGCTAAATAACACTGAGTAAGATTGACAGCCAGTTTGAAATAGCTTATAAATAGATTTTTAATCATAATTTACAAGATACAAAATAAGCATGTAAAATGAGTTTTGTCTTGACTTACATGAAAAGTACTCATCACTAATTTCAACCGTAATGCTAAAGAGGGACCAAATGTTCATCGGGACAGTTCTAACGAAGAAGAACACTAGAGGCCACACAAGTACGATGTTAATTAATTTGAAGGCTTATGACAAGAGTTGCTGCTACTTTATATGTGCGTATCGTGAGAGATTTATGTGGGAGGGGGCAGCCTGGGGCGATTAGATTATATTCTCATTTGGTTTTGTTGCGACTTGAGCTGCAGCCGTTCCTGTCGCGTCCCTCTTGTATATATAATATATATATATATATATATATATTCTCCGCCTTTTTCTTTTTCCATAGCCTATGCTACTTTCACTTTCCGCTTCACAATTTTATTCTCCCCAACCCACACCCCCTTTTCCCATCTCCTCATCTCACCCACATGCATCACGACTTTAATAAATCACACAGTAAATTAAACTCCCCAGCACTCTATCGGTTCTTTTTGACATAAATAAAATATTTTGTTTCATTAAACTTACTATTTTTTTTACTTGTTATTACTCGCTAACCATTCTCGTAAAAATCAGATTAATTTCGCTAATCCCTGAGAACCTTATCTATCTCAAATTATATTCCTAAACAAGCTGCTGTACATGTTTGGAATTTTACATTATATCAGACTGCACTCCTTAGCAGCTGTCTCAGCGCTAACGGCTTACACGACAAAACTGGTGAATATTATCATCAATCTGTCCATGTATAAATAAAGTTGCCAACAGATTATATTATTATAGCGCGATTTTTCAAATATTTTTTTTTACACGGTTCTATTATTCCTTTGAAGTTAGTAAATTTTGACACAAAAGTTCAGAATTTTTCAAAATTATCCCAAATGAGATTCATTAAACGTGTGCAGAGTCAATGTCGTCGAGAAGTTAGGAAATATGAAAACAAAGGATATTTAAGGAAAAAAATAATAGTATTTTAGACAAATTATTGAGGCTATTGTGATAATTAAAGACCGCGAAAAAGGGTTTTATAATGACAGGAAGGGAGTAATGGATAACACAACAAACGACAATACGTCATAAAGATACTGACAGCCAGGGAAAAAAAAAAGGTCATAAAGAAACTATGCATAAAACTAGCCGTAATATCAATATAAAGCTATGAACGAAAATTATAACAAATTTAACAGAACAGTAAGTATAAGTACGTACGTACCATACTGGAGAATCAATGACGGCGAGCGCATTGCGGGTCGCAGTCAGAGAAGAATTATCAGACTAAATTCAGCGAGCATGCAATGCACAGTCAGAAACACATCGATGGAAGATTATGGAAGATACTTTAATTATTAGAAGAACTGATGCATGTATGCATGTAGCCATGTATCCAAATTTCGCCATAAGTGCCAAAGAGTCATGTGTGTGTAAAAAGACTATGCTGCCCTTCGAGTGAATATAGGCAGCTAGTGGGCAACACATGGAACCACCACTATAATCCCCAACCCTCAAAGCTTTTCACACTTGCCTGCTTTTGACACCCAACCTCTAGAAAGTGGCTGTCTTTCCTATCTCTCGGCACTCCATAGCTTTTTCTCGTTCCTCTTAATCCATGGACACAGCTCAGTGGGCACAGGTACACCCAAAGGCCTTTTCTCTGTTTTTCTTCGCATATCAAAATTTCTTCTGTGAATAATCTCAATGAAAGATTTGCTTCGGGTTTTGCAATTTCTTTCGATTATTAATTCCCGAGTTCTGATGAGTGAGGTTTACTTTTTTCATCCACTTTTCAACTCTCAAGAGACCATATGCATGTTGCCAGGCTCGTCAGTCCCCCCACTAAATTCAATTTTTGCTGCTAGGTTTGTGTCTTTTTAATTTAAGATCTTCACCTCATATATCAATTTTTTCCCTGTTATTGAAAGTACTGCACCTTCCTCTTTCTTCCCTTTTTTCTTCCTTTCCACCATCTGATAAAAGGACCCGAGAAAAAGCTAATAAATCTGTTTGTATTGTTGCTACGTACCTGTTGTGCGTGTAAATCCCTTTGTGAAGGAGCAGCGTCCTTGTTTGATCGTCTTGTTGGTTTCCTCTTTTGGGTTATATGTATAGGTTCTAAATTCTGGATGAATATATTTCAGGGGATTGGAGTGGTTAAACAGCCTGGGGTGGAAGGCTCAATTCCGAAGCCTCCTACGACAGAAAGAAAGGCGAGGCCTCAGAAAGATCAAGCTCTGAACTGCCCGCGGTGCAACTCAACCAACACTAAATTCTGCTACTACAATAACTATAGCCTCTCTCAGCCCAGATACTTCTGCAAGACTTGTAGAAGGTACTGGACCGAAGGTGGGTCCCTGAGAAATGTTCCCGTGGGTGGAGGCTCCCGAAAGAACAAGAGACCTTCAACTTCTTCATCTTCATCCTCAAAGAAGCTTCCTGATCTGAACCCCAAGATCCAGCAAGGCCAAGATCTTAACTTAGCATGCCCACCACCAGCACCCGAGGACTACAACAATAGCATATCAAAATTTATCGAGGTTCCTTTTAATACTGAAGACAAGAGTATAGCTTCTCATCACGATCAGTTATCCTCGATGGAGCTTCTGAGAACTGGAATTCCGTCGTCAAGGACTCTGTGTTCTTTGATGCCTATGTCGGCGTCGGATTCTTCCGGTTCAGCAATGTATAATTCGAGTGGATTTCCTAGTTTGCAAGATCTTAAGCCTCCTCCAGGGCTTAGTTTCAGTCTTGAAGGGTTTGCAAATGGGTACGGGGGTATTTCTGGAATGCACGAGGGAAGTAGTGGCGATGGCAGTGCGAGGTTGTTGTTCCCTACTGAGGATTTGAAGCAAGTTCCAAGTAGTACTGATCATTATGAGCAGAATAGAAGCCATGCGGATTCAACGGGGTTTTGGAATGGCATGTTAGGTGGAGGATCGTGGTAAAAATATTATTATTGCAGAAGAGAGTTATAAAGAAAAGCAAAAAAGCCAAGGGGGGGTCTGGTCTTCTAGCTGCTGCTTCATCATCTTCTTCTTCCTTTTCTTTTCCCCTAAAAATTTGGTGATCGACTGTTTGAATTAATTGATCAGATTCCGGACCACTAACATGAATAGGGTATATGACTTCTGTTTATGGCCATGTTCTTAAATCCATTTCATTTCTGGTGAAGATCTTCTTATAATTAATTTTTCTTTCCCTACTTTCACCTGTTTTAATTTTTGCATTTTGACCCAGAAGTTTGTGATCAAGTGGTTGCATATATGCTGAAACTCGAATTCTTTTCAGGATATACCTAGCTTCAAGATGTCATAAACTTTGTCATAAGTTTTGAGCTTAATTTACCTTACAAGTAGTATAACTATGTTTAGCTCTGGATAATGTTGTATATACCAGATATCCTTTCACAATTTGCCTCAACAGTTGCACCATGGTTTGCCCTATCAGCACGTCATCGTACGCACATAAACTACTGTCGTTCTTTGTTGTCGGGTACGAAGATACAGCAGTCGGTCATATGTAAGCGAGAGATTTCGGTCAAGTCACGATCTGCAAGTTAATCGTTCTAATAAGGTAACTAAACGATTTCGTAAATGGGATATTTCATGTATATATGTGGTTGAATTTGGTGTGTATGATATTTATGGGTTTAAAAATTAAAACCTCGAACATAAAGTGAGTCTGGAATGATGGGTGTCAAATCCTTTACAGCAAAAGTGGTCTCCCTATCTGTCCTTTTTTCTTTTCTTTTCACCCCCTCGTTATTATTTATTTTTGCTTGCCAACTGGTCAGAAGTATTGTCAGATCTTAATCAGTAACGTCTTGTTCTTACAGATTCTTTCCGCCCATTAAAGCAGTCTTGACGAATTAGCCACTAGGACATATCTAAATAAGAATGGCTATTAAATTAGTAATTAAGCATATACTCCATTACTTTCAAACCCGGCTAGCTAGCATGCATATAGCACCTTGACAAATTAGAGAGAGCATGCATATTCGGAAGCCAATTGTACTGGTATTCTTCTTGCTGATTGCTTTCCTTTGAGAGCGATTACTAATCGAAATGGGGTGAACAAGACGGGTGACAGAAATGTGAAAGCCAATGCGAGGCAGAACTTTAAATTTGAAGAAAGTGGGTCTCCATGTGTTGCTTGACCTACATGGTATAGATGTTGCTTTTTTCTGTTGTTGGGAGGGTCATTCAACCACATTTTGCTGCATTTGCGTAGATTATCATTAATTTCGATTCACTCCATATCCCCCACATGGGGGGCTTCCTTCTCCTTTTTCTTTCTTATGTTGAAAGAAAGCTAATTAAAGAAGTTCGAGCTTGACTCTCTAGTCCCCTCTTTTTCCACCTATGGGGCCCCACAAACATTCCTCTTGGTCCCCGTGCAAGAATAATATCCTCCACTCTGCAAATCCTCCGTCCTCCATACATATATGTAATTATTATACGGATATAGATAGACTTTATTCCCTTTGTGCTCTTATTATAATATACTAGATAGAGTAAACAATAGGGATTGTGGCTTGATTGGCTGGGTTAATTTACTCGGATCTAACGTGGTAAGCAATAAGCATATATTTAAACCATGGGTTGGAGCTTCGCATCGTGAAGGTCTTTTTCTTGCCAAACTAATCCATCTACTCCATTATTCTTGACTATCCATCAGAAAAATACCCACATATATTGTGAAATATTCCGAGATCTGATAGGTGATTATCACCTTCATCTCTCTGCATAACATGACGCTTTCGGACTTGACCTGTGATCACCTTTAGAACGCGTACTGTTAACCTCAGTGACAAAGTGGGGACAACGAGCGAAAGGTGATATTTACGCATAAAAAAATGTTGGGCGAGGGATCGAATTTTTTAGATCGATGAAACGGTGATTTCATATTTTGTTGGTTAAAGTCTGCACTAATGCAATATGATTGATTTAGAAATGAAAACCTACAAGCTGAAAGTGTTCCCTAGCTACAATATTTAAAGTTTGAAAAGTACGGTCTATATATTGACGATATGTATTCTACGCATTCCACTGCCAAGGGAATTTACTCATTCCTTATTACGCCAAATCATAGAGATGGAATTGGTGCATGTAGACCTAGAGGAGGATGTTTTTCTCAAACTGTGGTGCCTCCAGCAGTGACCGTATAAACTAGGGTTTCAAGTTTCAACGCGGAAGGGGAGGGGTTAATTAAGAAGGAAGGACGAGAAGGGCAATTATGAAGAGATAGAGAGGGGCGGGACCATAAACGTCATTGGGATCAGCTTCGCACCATCTGTTTCGCTACATTTGGCAACACTTTAATAAGTGATCGAAGTGCGCAATATACTGATGGGCTTTTAGTGTTGGGGTCTGTGGGGTTTACGTACTCCCTCTAATAATTCCTCGTCCTCCTCCAACCTCTTAAATTAATTCTGCCGCTGCTATGTTCTTCTTAGATGATCGTGTATATTTCTGTTGCTTTGAAAATGCATTATGACGTGAGATAACAATAGTGAAGCGACACCTGGAGCCTTCCGGGGTTTAATCATCACCTGAAGCTAATGGGGTCACTGTCTCATGCATATATTCAAAATTTCGTTAATCAGCACTTACCACTCGTAAATTTTTTTCATTTTAAGCAGAAAAGACTATTTTCACAGGTAAAAAATTGTGCATGGGAAGGAAAAAATCAATGACTTGTGGGAAGGCGTTAACAAATATGGTGCCGTTACTGAATAATGCTGCTCCCCCGGTTTCAGACCTTCATTAGACAAAAACTTTCGTTTCAAGACACTGAATGCTGAATATGAACAAGACTTCCCAACTCTGAACTAATTATCACTCTAATTTAGGACCATCACTTTTAGTTATGTATATATCCATGCTTCTGATCATGACATGCAGCACATGACGTTCTTTTTGTGCTAATTTTTTTAATTTTAAAACTTTGCTCATCGAATTTCATCCTGCCCCGATAATTTATTATATATTTTTCTTATGCTTCAAGTGTCATCAATTCAAGTGATATAATATGCCACTTATTTTGGAGGCTAAAACTGCTCGATGCCGAATAAAAACTTGTAAATGCAACATAAGTTTTCTATTAATATTTATTTCCGAAAAAACGTTTTCCACTATATTAATATTCGCCAATCTTCGCTGAACGTCATTTGACGGGCAACTCTTCAATATATTATACGTTGGTTGGTTTAATATTAACATGCTACTCCTCCGGTCCTAAATATAAGACTATTATGCACAATAGTATAAGGGTGTTACATTTAGGATAGGAGGAGTATTTGCAAACATTATTCCTCATTGATTAGGCCACTTGGCATGGATTGAATTTGCACCTCTGGCCTGTTCTGTTTGCAACTTTCATTTTGATCTGTACGCAGATTCGTGACCGGATCGTCAGGTATTCCATGACAATCAATATTCACAGCTGGTCGCATCTTTGTGAATTGTCACCTTTACGGTCGCCTGTATATATCAACCTCAGCTTAATAAATATTACTTCCGATCTTAAATATAAGAATTAGTTAATTAATTTGAGTAAATCAAAGAAATAAATTAAATTAATTTTTTATAATAAATAGATGTTATTTTTTCTAAAATATCCTTACTAATCAAGTTTATTGGTTATAACTATCATTATTAGAAGGATTATCCTTAAAAAAATTGAAAAATTATGATAGACAAAATATACTGGGATCTTATATTTAGAATCAAAATAAAAATTAAACGAGGTCTTATATTAAAGACCAGATGTAGTATCTATTTTCCGGCTGATTATATATATACACAAATAGTACCAATAAATTTTTATTGATAGCAACAAATATACACTCATGAGGGAGATAAACAAACAAACACAGATATTTTGGCCAGCTCGATCCGTGGAAGAACAGTCTCTCTGCGTGGCCGTTAATGCTTTTACACTGAGCACATGCGGAGACACCCTTGCCTATGACTATGATTTACTGATAATCCCCAGAGGGAAAAAAAAAAGAGGGGGAAAAAGCCCGAGCGGCTTGACTTATGCTAACACGTGTGTACGTATTTTAAAGTCAAACGACATATGAGTATTTTGTTTATTGAAAAAAACCATAAATCAGTTACTGATGACTTTCTTTAATATTGCGTATCTAGGTGTTGCTACCTTCGATGTTTGCTGTAAGAACTAAAAAACTAATTTGAAGAACTTAAAAAAATTTAGTTAAATTAGTTAATTATAATAAATATATGTTAATTTTCTTAAATTATCTCTTCAATCATGTGCGTTAGTTGGAAATATACTTCGCTAAAAACTCCTTTCAATCAATAGAGATGTTTTAAACAAAACATTATATATTGGAGAGATAAAGTGAATTGATATTTTATATTTATGATTAAATTTAATCTTCAACTGGTTTTTATATTAAAAATTTTAGGTAGTATAATAGTAAGGTCAAAGTTTGATCCCCTCCGAGAACTGGCTATGCAGATAAAATATCGGGACAGCAACATGAAACAAATGACAAAAACAAGATGCTGAAGCAAAGGGTGGATCTAATTAATAACGGGATGAGTGCTGGAGAACTCAGCCATCCTGAAATTACATCATAAGTGAATGAACATATTTATAAGGGAAAATTACAATCAAATTCTGAGAAAAAAATTAGTTGCAAAAAAAAATCTCAAAAGTTGTTATTATTTATTATGAAACTTGTTATTATAAACTGTTGAGGCTGTTATTAAGACTTATTAGTAATTATTTTTCTTTCTTGTGATTTGATTCTAATTCTCCTTGTTTATAATTCAGTTCGAGAATAACTAGTTTTAGGACGCTTGCCCCTCTGATCTTTCCACGGAGGAACTTCGTTGACAAACTGAAGCATGAGGAACTCAATTATTTATCAACAAATAAATTCATAGAGATCTCTTGCTGATATATACATACTAACTCCATTATTTAATATAAGAGCTGGTTTGATTTTTAATTTGATATTAAATTT